TATGCTAAGTGAAATAAGCCAGTCAATGAAAGAAAAATACCACATAATCTCACTCATTTATGGATAATAAAGACCATTATAAACTTATGAGCTGCCTCAAACAGACTGTCAAACTACAGCGGGAAGACCGGGGAGGGTTGGGGGGCTGTAGGGGGGTGGGTAAGAGATCAACCGAAGGACTTGTATGCATGCATATAAGCATAACCAATGGACATAAGACACTGCTGGGTAGGGGAGGCCAGCGGATTGTCAAGGGCGGGGGGGAAAAAAGGAGACATATGTAATACTCTTTGCAATACTTTAAGCAAAAAAAATTTTTTAAAATCCCCACCCGGGGAAACAACCTTTCTCAGAGAGATGACCTTGGTTAAAACACATAGCGCCAAGAAGGGGAGCAAACATATTAAGAACAGTATGCCATATATGCCAGGTCCCTTGAATCCTAAGGGACAGATGTTTCTTCCCCGCAGCGACTGTGTCAAGCAACAAGGGTGGTCCGGCTTCCGGGAGAGGATCTTTTCTTTTCAGTCAGTAACTTAAAGCTGTCTGTTTTTTGGTCTGTGTCTTTCGTCCAAGCAATGTCCTTGATCTTCCCAGCAAAAGGCTGGTACTCGTACTTTAGGAGGTGCTCCTTCTGCGTGGTGTCCCAGATCCGCAGCTTCCCAGACACATCTCCAGAGGCTACGTAGAATCCGCTGGGTGCGTACTTGGCCACCATGACCTGATGGGCATGCTCCGTGTAGATGTCAGCAAGGGCTGGGTTACCGATGTTCCTTAGGATGACGCACTTGTCATTGGTGTAAAGAAAATTATTGCCCTTGGGGTCGCCGCCGATGATTTTGGAGACGCCTCTCTCCACCTGGGGGAGGCTGGCGAACACCTTCTTGATCTCGTATGGCATCCTCGCCCACTTGTTACCGCGCCGCGCTCGCCAGACCCTCGGGACGCCTGCGCCGTGAATCAGACCTGGCCGAGGCCGAGCCGGGGAAAGGGCCGAATTCTAGGCGGCGCCGGGCGTGCTGGACGTGGAGGGGGCCCCTACTTTCATTTTTAATGCCCCAGGAAACATGTTGCTCATATGACCTCAGCAATAAATCAGCTGGAAAGACTCATTTATGTAGTTTTGAGAATGAATTCAGCAGATTTCTTTAACTCCAACATTGACTGCAGTAGAAAATAATGTGCTTGACCTCATTCTACATCTTCCTGGAAAATAGGATTAATGTTTACCTCAGAACAGTAATATGAGGCATAATGTTTCAGTGGAGGTTTTTGATGAGAGGTGTTTAAGAAATCCAACCTGTTTGGACTGCAACTGAGATTGACTATTTTCTTGTTTAGCTAAACAGGAACTCTATATTGTTCTCCCTTTAGTGCTAGCCTGGTGCCTGGTACTACCCCGAGGCCAATAGTCCTCCTGCCTTCTCACCTTTTGGGGATATTTACTAGAGTTCCTGAAGCCTGCCAGGTAGGTCAGTGCCCTGTCCCTTGT